TTCTCACTCCAGCGAGAGCACTCCCCGCTGAAACACATGCTTCGAAGAGCCTACAACAGACATGTTTTAGTTTGGGGAAACTGTCCCTGACCCCACCTAGGGGGGTTTGAAAGGTCTGTCTCAAGGTCGTAGCTGGAGAAGGTTGGACTGGGTAAACCAATTCTGCTTTACTTAACTGATCAGATGAGCCTGCAGCTACCGTGACGCTGCCAGAAGAAGAGAAAGCTGCCTTGCAATAAATCTGCATGCTTCACCTGGCTGGAATGGATCTTAAGCCAGATGGATCTCAAGGGGATGCGATAGCAAACTTTAGGTCGGTGCTACAAAGTAGAAAATGCACTGGGGGGGTTCTTTCTTTATCTGAGCCTTCCAGAAGAGACCACCTTACAAAAGCAGAGGTCCGGGTGGTGTCTCTCAGGGGCAGCTACCAGCACTGCAGCAAGCTCCACAGGCACTCACGTCTTCTCTTTTGCACACCATGACTGCACAGAGAAGAGTGAAAAGCCACTTGCACCCTATGTCTAATCTGGATGCGATAGTGATAGGGTCCGTTCTCTGGTCTTGAGACTGTGCATGAAGTCAGCTGCAGGGTCAGGTCAAGTCCAGGTAGCTAAATTCTCAATGCAGGGTGGCTCCTGCCAGAAAGTCTTTCGAGAGTCATCCCTGCTATTTTATACCGTGCTCCCAGGAATGGGTTTGGAAGGTGGTAGCTGGCCCAGGCTAAGGGCACGCTGGAGACTGCTCAAGCAGTTTGACAGGACAGACCGTCATGTTCCTGTGCCCAGGCCAGGTTGATGTTTAATTTAGTAGCACAAACACAGCAACAGGCCACTTCCAGGAAAAATATTAAGAGAAACATTTTATTTTTAATAAAATAAATTTTTAATTCGTAATTCCTTAGCTGGGAATTACAGGGACAGACATGCACTTGCTTAGTCTCCCCTGGTGTGCCTTGTCCTGGCTACAGAGCTTCCAGGGCATCTCCTCAAACCAGAACCTAAACCAGCTGCATCAGGTTGGTGTGAGCATCGTTGCTGGCACAGCATCCCTGGACCATTTTGGAGGCAGATGTCCTTAACCTCACATCTACCTGCAGAGACACACTAGGTGTCAGGTTGTCTTGGGTAAGGACCTAGAATTGGGGAGCCACCAAAACCAAAAGGGACCTCAGCTGAAGGCACTAGGGACAGGGCTAAGGAGCTGGCAAAGCTGGGGCACGGCTGACCTGGAGTCTGCCAAAGAGAGAGATTAACTTGGAGACATCCGAGGCCCTCTCCGGCCTCGGAGGAAGAGCGCTCCGGCATGAAGATTCATTCATAGCAACCCAGGACAGCGCGGGGCAGGATTCCCCGCCTGATCCCCGTGCTGACAAGAGTCACAACAGATATCTGGTTTCTTGGCTCAAGGCGGGGACAGAGGGGCGATGTGCGTGACCGCTTCCTCCCGTTTACGAGTACACCCTTGGCAGGGCTCCTGCCGGGACCGGGCAAGCTGGCCAGCTTCTGCTTCCGCCCTGACCCTAGCTACAGGCTGGGAAGAGTCAACCGCTGGGATTAGAGGCAAGAGCCATTCTTCGCCACCACCTGCGGACCCCCAGCACCCCCGTATCCTCCTGGCACAGAAAAGCTCGGACAGAAAACCTGGGGCCAACGGCCCACGTCCCCGCGGTGGATGAAACACAGTGACAGATCACCACAATTTGATGACAAAGAATGGCATTAAAAACACTTCTCTAAATGCTAACCTTAGAAGGTGTGGTGCACAATATAAAGCCTTGAAAGAAGCTCTAGCATCTAGCTTAACCCCACACACCTGTCCAGAGCTTTGATTTCTAATCCCAGGCATAAAAAAATAAAAAATATAGGTAGCTGTGGCAACAGAAATTGCTGTGCATCCCACCACCCCTTTATAACGTTAAATACAGGGGTAACTTACACTCTGGGAATGAGAACGTCTCAAAGAAAAAAATTATACTTTGCTGTTAAACCAGATACATTCAGACCTTTCATTGTGAAGCTTCTGACGATCTCTGACAAACATCTGAATAAGGTCTTTGTTTGCTTTTTGCTTTGTTTTTAATCTCCCCAGTTATTTTCCGTGGTTCTCCGGAGCACAGAACCCAGGGCCGAACACTGCCGTCTGCTCCGAAGCAGCGATTCCCACGTCAGCTACGCGGAGCTGCGGGGCAGGACAGGTCTCCGAGGTTATTAGTATAAGCTTAGTCACACTCTGCGGTGATGTCCTGTTAACAACTGCGACTCGAACCAAAAAAACAAATCTAAAAACAACACACACAAAAAACACCCCCCCAAAAAAACATAAAAACATACGCTCCATGCTCTGCCCCTGGCAGCTAGCAAACGAGGCAACAACAACAACTCTGCTCGGAAAAGTTCCCTGAGCTGCCTGTCAGCAACATCATACGATTTTACTTTTTTTTTTCTTTCTATGACTACTACAACTATGACATTTTCCATGTTTTATTTTGCATATGTGATCTAGAGTTCACTTACTGTTAGATGCTGGAACAGCCATGCCCTCATGATATTTGTGGCTACTTTGGGAAAGATGCCACGCTTTTTATGTCGCTTTTTGTCCTTATCTGGATCATCATCATCACCTGTGCTGGGGGAAGCTACACTGTTGTCCAAGCCGTCACCTGTAAATATAGTGAATCAAATTTTGACTTATGCTACCTTTATATACTTCAGCCGAAGCCTGGCTTTGGGTATAAACTGCATGAATATTTAAATGAGGTATAAATTCTTTAACACCGTAATTCACCGGGGGTTGAGGGGACGAGGGGGAAGAGACATGGGGAGAGGGAGGGTTTCAGGACTGTGTCGGCCCCATTCTGATTCATCCTGAAGGACAGTGTGGCTATTTCTGCCATCGTAACCCGAAACAAAAAGTGCTTAAAAAAAGAAAACAAAAAAATCTTGCAAGCATCCAGCTTGCAAAGGTGGAAACGGTGGCTTTTCTTCATACTTAGTGACTTCCCGAAAATTCACCCCAATTAGCTACTTTGGTTGAGATGGCAATTAGGAAAGGATTGGTGGTGTCCCATCCTCATGATCACCTTGCTCTGGGATGCGAAAAGTGGGGTGAACACAGCTCTCTTGCAACATCATATTTTCTCTCCAAATTCAAAAATAACCAGAGGACTGGAGCGTTGCTTGTGTTAAGTCTCTTATAGATATGTGACTTCTCCTGACTTTTTGATGGGAGGTGGGTAGCTAACTGGCCTCCCTTCTTCCCAGCCCCAGCCTAAAGAAATTCATACTGGGTTAAGTAGGTACCAATTTGACATACACCGTAGGAATTAACACCCTGCTTTGTGCCGGTGTGCCATATCCGTACTAGGTGTCCGCTCCTGTTAAAAAATGACTCATCCAGAATGAATTTCCTTAATGCAGAGAAGGTCTCAGACAGTTCTCATCACATTAGCAACATATCTATGGGAGGACATAACCTCGTAGCAGCCGACTTGGGTCTGGGCTGACTGGCTACTGGTCAAAGGAAAACAAAAGTTGCAGCGCCCGGCGTGTTTCACGTGCAATTTTTGTTTTGAACCCTGAAAGCAGTTTATAAACAAGTCCACAGAGCAAACCAATCTTCGCATTCTCTGCATGTGGATTGAACAGCATATCCTGGCTTCCAAGGACATTATATGTTTGTAGCAATGTGGAGTTGTGATGTTATTAGGCAAGTGTTTTTTATGCCCCTGGGCAAGAATGATCAAGAAAGTCATCTGGATTGGGCTGAATCAAAACTATCTCTGTTAGCGATAAAAATAAAAAATAATTTTAAAAAAATAAATACGTAGACTGTCAAAATTATGATTTGTTAAACAGCTTTCAGCACCAAAAAAAAAAAAGAAGTTATTATTAGTGTTATATTTTTAGTATCTTACTGACTGTGGCAAATTTATAATTGTCCTTATGACTTGGCCTGGGTCTTTAATGGAACGGTAACCTTGAGTAGTTATAGAAACCAACAAGATTTTTATGAAGAAACCAGATATCCAACAAACTCTTTGAAAGCCCAGTATGTAAAAAAGGGCTTTTATATAGAGAAGCAATTCACCATATAAAATAATAATTCATAAAAGAAACATGAGCAAAGGAAACAACTCAACAGCATTTAAAATTCCACGGGCTAATCCACTCTCTGTCTGCGAGAGGCAAACAAGGAAAAGAAAAGTATTACGCATTCATTGATTAAAAATGAAAAGCTTCTAACCTAATGACACTGCCTTTCACCACCTCCCTGCAATCGTCCACCCGCCCTCTCTGCCCCCCCCCTCATTTTTTTTAAAATACGCTCTCTCCTCATCGCAAACCCCCTTCAGATTAATTTAGCAGCCATCGCCTCGTGCCTGACGGGAGGAGGACTCATTGATAATTTATGGAAATATCTACTATAATCCAAGGGAGAGGACTTTTTTTTTCCAGCTTTGTGCATCAATAGATAATCAAGGCCTTCAAGCAGCCTTAGCTTCCCATTACCTCGGGCAAGAGAATTCCTGAAAGCATGCCTCCGGGGCACCTGAATTATATCCTCCATTAGGGGAGGAAAAGCTTTCTGCATTCCACCTATAACACTCCCCAGAACCTTTCCTGTTTATTTCTGCTCTATGAAAGCAGAAGCATTAGGAACAGGATTTTTTTAAGTGAAGACTTATGTAGATACAATGGAGAAACCTTTCAAGCACGAGCCAGATCACCTCCTTCAATCCTTGGCGGTGACCTATCCCAAATAAAAGGTTTCTGTTACATCATTAGCTCAAGCCAAAAACAGCCTCGGCTTAATGCACAGTTTGTTCTTCCTACTGTTTTTAGGCAAATACTGCTACTTTACTCCCATCTGGGAGGGAAATTACACTGCTGGGCTGTAATCTAAGACAAGATTTTCATTGGAAGCAAATGCTTTCAATCCAGTGTAAATACTGGTGCATGTTCAGAAAAGCCTAAAACAATAAACCCTGGCCCCGTCCAACGCAAGTTAGAGAAAGTGAAAGGCAGGGAGAGGATAAGCAAGCACCCAGCTATCCTAAGAGCAAACGCTTCGCTAGACTTTTATAAATTGTTTAACCTCTTCCACTTTTTTTAAATGGAAAATTGATCCCGTAAAGACTGAAACCACAGAGAGAAGTCTAAATGGTCAATTGTGGATTTCAGTATTTCCATCTACTTTGCAACTCGATACGCTCAC